GGCATGAAAACGGATGCAAAAAAAGAAGAAAAGTGAAGGCACAAAACAACGAAGTGAAGCAAAGGCACGGATTGCTTCGCGAAATGGAAGAATTTCAAAAGTTGAATCTGCATCCATGAGCGCGCGACGCGCGGAGGAAGACACGGATTCCGACTTCTCCCATCCGAAGTTGGATTGAAAAGTTCCGCCTCTCATCAACCCTAAGTGATATAAATACATCAAAGAATAACTTTTTAAGGGTTACACAATATCTTTGAAGGTAAGAACAAGCAAAGAGCAAGGCAGAAAATCGGAAATGAGTTTTTATCTTTCTTCTTCCTTTTTCTATTATTGGTGATGAATTCTTATATTGTAGTTGTGAAAATAATTACGAGCAGCAAAACTCTTTATTCTAGGGTTTGATGGAATCTCTTGGAGGATGAATTTTTGTTGCGTTTAATATAAGTTTGCCTTGGATTTTCTCTACTTGTTCAACTACGTGAATATTGTGGTTGATTGAAGGGCCCTCAATTGACCATGGCTATTTAGTGTGTATTACTTGAAAAATGGTACATATTTAGGTAGTTGTTGAACAACATCACTCATACCTTATATGAGGGATCAATATGAAGGGTTTAAAGGTGAGATTAGGAATAACGAAACCTTGGTGCGATCTTAGTGAGCGGTAAACTAGTGCCAGCTAGCGTAGTTTGGAAGAATATGTCTAGTAAATTATTGTATTTACTAGAAAGAGAATTACGATACCTACATTGCTCACGATCGGTAGAGAATATCTAAGCAGGTTTATAGGAAACGTAACGGGTAGGATTCCAACGAGAGAGGAAATCGTAACCCTAGACCTTTCTAATCTTGTCTACAACATTTGCTTTGTTAGTAATTAAATTACTGCTTTCTAATTACCTTGCTTTTAGTTAGTAAATACTCAACTCATTATTCAATATTTCTGGAAGTTGATTACTTGAATTCTTGCGAAACTAGCAGTTGTGATTAGTAGGTTAATTCCCTGTGGGATTCGATTCCGAACTTGTAAACCGAATTATATATGCAACGACCGCTTAGTCCTTTTTATAAGGCATAGTTAGGCGTAATCAGCTGGATTTATACGAATTGAGAGCAAGTCTTCTTTGATATTACAGATCCTTAGGAGATCGGCAACCCAAGGGAATTGATCCTTAGAATGAATCTTGAATTGACTCCTTCCAAGAAAAAGGGAGGCACTTTCTATACTTTGGCCTTGCAAGGTGGCGTGATGACTGTTGCTTCCTTGAAGGTCGTGATTGAATATTATTAGCAATTCTTCCACACAGACTGATTGATATCTTTTCCCTTAACTTTCATAAATAGACAAGATCGAATATTTATTCTCCTTGATGGTCGTAATCATGAACATGATTGATTCTTTAATCCTTGCTTCTTGATCTTTCGGAGAATCTCGATTCCTGAATCCTTTCTTCTGGATTTTCAGCTGAATCTCGCTTTCTTCTCCATTCTCAGCCTTCCATCTTTTGTTCCTTGATTCCTTCATTCTGCTTTCTTGACTTCCTTCTTTGGATTTTATTTCCTGCAATAAAGGTAAGTTTTTTTTTTTTTTATTAAAATAGATATCTAATAATGTGGAGATATTTTTTTAGCATGTTCAAAAACATTTTTTTAAATTTAAATTCTATATTTATTTAAGCTTTGTCACATAAATTAAAACGAAGGGAATACTTTTTTTTATATATTTATGAACAATTTAATTTTTTCTTTTTCATTTTATGGTGTCGCGGCTTGTTGTATGACCACGGATACAAAACAAACCGTTTGATATCAGGATAACTTCACTCTTTTATTCATACTAGTCCTTGGGCACGCGCGTTGCGTGTCTATCCCATGTAATTAGTAAAAAATTATATCGTCTTGTACATGGATGGTAAAACGCTTTGAATCATGGTTGTATTTATAAGAAAAAGATTGCTCTTAGAAATTATTTCTAATAACAATCTAAATATTTAAGCTAAGAAAAATAAAAGGAGAATATAAAATGTTAGCTCAAAAAAAATAATTTGATTATTTAAGAACCGTAAATGTTAGCTCAAAAAACTTATTATGCGCTGAAGTTAAAGAGCTTAACTTTGTAAAGTGAAGAATTTAGATACATGGACCTTACTAAATTCTTTGATAATTCCCAAGTCATATTTAATGTTACAAAACTAACTTTTATTATTAATATTTAAGGTATTATTAAAATAACTTTTAAGGGCATAAAAGTCGAATAATAGTGTAGGGTTATTTTATTCTTTCACATTCAACTTTTGATCTTCATGCTTATAATATAGTACGATGATATGATCATTAACTTTCTTTTCTTTTTTGAATTCTAGATTACTTGGAATTGACGGAGTAGTAATTTTTTTTTTGGTTGGTATTAGAATGAATTCGTGAATAATAGTAGATAAAGAGAGAAGATTTGGTGAAATTAGAACGTTACTAATGGTGAAATCTAATTAATTACTCTCACAGTGTACTTTTACTTGTTCACCATTAACTTTGCACATCCCTTAAGAAATAATAAATAAAGTGCATAATTTATCATGATACGCATATTAATTGGTGTATAAATCTTAATGGATTTGAAAAATGATTTGAAGTGCGAAAGTTGATAAGTAAAAGTAAACGGATGTAGTGAAAAATTAAAGGATTAAAAAAGAGAAAATTGACCACCGAAATTTTGTTAGGATTGGCTTTTTGGAAATGTGGAACCCATAGGGCATACTTGCGAAGCTGTTTTGTCCAATTTAATAGTCCAAAGTAGTGTGTTTGGGACCCCAAATAAAAATGCCATACAGCTCATCAGCCAACTTCCCTTTATTTATTTCGTCCTTGTTGCTCAATTATTCACCCCCACCCTTCTTTTCTTTCCCACATAGTCGAGCACATTTATAACTATTTCACCTACTATTTTAATTCGGTGGACTAGTTAAAGATTATTGGTTGAATAACAAATTTTAACTGAATTAATAAAAGAAATCAATATAGGAACTCACGTTCAATCTTCAAGTTTAAGCGATTTTCCTGTCCCAGTGGCAGTGATTCTATATATTGTAGTAAAAATATTGCAAGTTTCATGACATCTTTTATTGCCTCATATTTGCTAGGGACGAATTCAGCCATCGCCTATGCTTGTTACTAATGCCTTAATTTATTTTAGAGTTTAATTTTTATGTATTTTTAACGTATAAGTATTTTCATGAGGGTAAGTTATTTACAATTAGATAACAGATCATTACTCATAGAATGCCTGATATTATAACTTGAAAATAAAGTAATTATCTAGTCGAAATATAATGACAATATAACAAAAACTTTACATGGTAATTAATATGTATAAGTTAAATTTTCTTGTTTATATTGGATGAGAAACAACTTATGTATATTGTTTGGAAGCATTAAAATCCCGTTGTAAATGTGCAAAGTGAAACAAAAGGTACCCAACCTTCCCATCGCGCAAGTAGTTCGATATGATAACGAAGGAAATACCAACTTCTGATGACATTTTAGCCCACACTTGTGCTTACTGTTTGAAGGTTGGCAGCTCATCTTGCCTCATTCAAGATAAGAAGATGAAACTTCTTATCAACTATGCTTTATTATTTATTTACTTATTTCCTTGTTTGTTTCATCACTTTACACTAATAATATAAGACGTATTTCTTTTCTCTTAGCACACTAATAACTGCCCGCTTAAAACTGACAAAAAATATGTATAGTGTTTATCGCATTATATCAGTATATGATACTATACTTATTTGAATTAACTATTTTCGAATTTCTTAAATAATATTTTCTTAAAGAGGGTGTCTAAAAGCACTCCAGTTGTGTGGTTCTTCAAAAAATTGAAAAGATTAGTTTCTAAACTCAACAAGAAACTAGACAATTTGAACCTCATAACTGGAGCATGCTCCCTCTGAAATGAAATAAATCAATCTCTTCTTGCTCTGACAATCTTCCACAAGTATATAACAGTATTCGTTTACATATACTTAATTTATTTTTAAAGGGGATCTTGGTATGGACAAATAGCATATAGCAACGTGTAAAAACATGTCGTACTTTTCAAGAATCTTCCTTTTCTTTGCAAATCCATCGTGGCCATGTGGAAAGATTTATGCCCTATCATTAAAAGTTTCATATTTTCCTATATGGAAAAGCTGCAAACTACAACGCAATGAAATGAAAGAAGTATTTATTAATAATACATTTATGTACCCTTTGATAATAAATTATATTTTAGTAAATTAGTGATTTGACCATCAACCCATATTTAAGAGAAATACTTAAATTGTTAACTGAAATTTTAACTCTTCCAGCAGATTGACTAGTTCAAGTCTCCTTCACATCTACAGAAAAAAGGAATCTGTAGCGGATTTTCTAGCCAAAAAAAGCTCGAACCAGTAGAGAATGCTTCGTCCTTTTTTTAATCCTATCCTGTTTAGTTTTGAATATTATGTACAAGACAGAGAATGAAACATGAAGTATAATTAGTAGCAATAATATTATCTTTTGAAGCAAGAAAAAAAAATCATGTTCAATCAGAACTTTAACTTTCAAATTAATTTATTGCAACTTCAATTTCAAATGCTCTATTTCTCATCTTCAACCAAGCATCGTCCACCCACTTACTTTTAATATTTTGATCCTTTTCTTTATTTCAACTGTCAATTAAAACCGTTGCCAGTTTGGTGGTTCATTACCTTTATGGCAACGGAAACCCTTTTTTTCTTCTCTTTGGTGTTAATTATGTGAAAATCAAATGATTATATGAACATGCGTTGCCAATTTGTCTAAGGCATTTCAAGTTCTTATTAAATACCAGTTCTTTTGAACATGTTGTTATTGTACAGTTGTACCACTCAAAAATAAAAACAAAAATCAATTCTATATAGTGTATGAGCTAAATAATGCAAAAGATTAACATGTGTAAGATGATCATGTGGAAAAAGCAACTGAGTTGCAATGCCTAGAAGCACAACAGCAATTAGACTATTAGTTAGAAGTTGACTTTGTAATTCTTGCAAAATTGACTAAAGTAATTTTCTTACATTCTATACGAATTAGAAACATTAATATGAATTAAGTTAACAAAAAAAGAAGCTAAAAATTGCGAAGCAATGGTCAAGAATTTACAGATTCTCCACAGGATGAGAGCAAGAAGAGAACTTCACTTCAGCTATTCAATTCACCCTTCCATTTTTCTCCTTTCTTTCTCTGAAGAGAATTGAATAATCTTCAGGAAAAGGATTAATCCATCTTGCTCTCACCTCTGCAAGTTTGTAGATCTGCGATTCCGACACTTTATTTTTACATTTTTCCTTGGAAAATTCTCAAAGGAAAATGTAGAAGAGAATGAACATAGTGGTGATAAAAGAAGAATAATAATGAGTGAGCTTAAAAGCAGCAGATTGTGAAGGTGGTGGAGGATTATAGAAGTAGAAGGGGAAATAGGGAACAATAGGATTAGGAGGTGGAGGAACAGGGCCAGAAGGGTAATTTTGGTAGGGTGGAGGGTAGTAACCACCAATTACACCACCAGGTGGAGGTGGTGAGTAAAAGGAATTGCCGCCGCCACCACCACTAGAGGAGGAGGAGGGTGGTGGTGGTGGTGAATAATAGTAATTTCCACCACCGGAGCTAGGAGGAGAGGGTGGCGGAGGACAATTGTTAGAGGATGATGGCGGCGGAGGAGGTGGCGGAGATGGGGTGGCACAGGGGTTGTCACAAGCTGCACACATTGTACATGCAATCTCATACTTTGAACCTGCCCATGTCCCAACAGTTGTTGCAGTTACCAAAATACCCTCATTTCCCATAGCCATTATCACTATGATGATGAGCACAAGAATCTTGAAAAGAACAAACTTTACTCCCATTTTGCCCCACCCCTTCTTTGTATGAATGATCAAAACAGAAGTAGAAAAAATATTGCTCTAGAAAGAGAGAGAGAAAGAGAGAGTTTTGGTTTAGTGGAGAGAGTGGAAATGGAAAGGGAGGTTCACTTGTCAATGAAGCAACAGAAATGTTCTAATCTTTTTGAAGGCATTAAGAAAGGTGTTAAACATATATAGTACTAAGAGTGGAGTAGGAGGGGTGTGTGGAATTAAAGTGCAAGTGAGGAGCCTTCATGTTCAAAAAGATGACCACCGACACGTTTTACTTTTCTCACACCAAACGCATAATTTTCTTTTCAATGATTAACCTCGACACAAATTAATGAACAACCCATGTAGAATGTAGATTTAGGTGGTAAAAAAAATAATGGAAGCAAAACATCTTTATAGATTACACTACCGAGTTGAGATTAAGGCTTAATCATGATGTTGTTGACGGATATTGAATAAAGGGACGATCGAGGGGTACTTATTTGAAGGAAGCATGAAGGAAGACGTTATGTTAAAACTAGTGCAAACAATATGTCGAAATAGTAGATTTAATAGTTTGCTTTCTTTCACCGAGTATGAATTCCTCCCTCGAGGAAGGCCCCTGTTTAATTGATGACTGAAGAGTATAAATATGATTTTAAAGAAGACTATCACGAATTTTTAAGTTAGAGTAGAGTTGAATGAGTAGTAAATTTGTATAGCTAAGATTTGAAATAAAGTGAGGTAACTGAATTGTCAAAAAGGACCTTTGAAAAAATGAGTGCAGAGTTAGAAAGTGCATGTTGAGGGCAAAAAAGAATGAACTTTACGAAAATGGAGTCTATGGATTGACAACTGAAGAAGCTGTTCACAAAAGAACCAAAGTAGAAAATATCAAAACTGGATTTTGCTCAAAAGAGGAAAGATGAGGCAGACTCACTAACCGAATAGGGCGAGCTCAGATAACATTATTGATGATCTCTTCTTTATGTAAGTTGTAACCGTGGAAATGGGGGAAGGATAGAATCCGAAGAGTTACAATCATTAGACTGCAATTTAGTTGTGAAATAATATTAATTTTGTAATCATCATTATCGAACATTATAATTGATGATACATAGTGAAGGTACAAACATAAGACTGCAACTTAAACACAAGATAACATTGATTGGCGACGAATTGTTCATGACTGCATTTGTCATTTTGATGTTAAGCTTCAAGTTTCTACTTCTCTTCTCTTTTGAATTGAATGAAACAGCTTTAAAATTGATGCAATTGTTGGGTTAATGGAATCTCATCAAAGTAGGACTATACCAAATCTTTGGACAGATATATGAAAAAAATTGGTAATTGGTTGAATGATGTTTTTCACGTGACGATTAATTGGCTTATTGCATGATAATCGACTTTACAACTAATAAAAATTCCTCTTTCCGTTTGAACACCTAGTAATAATTGAAACTGGACTGTATCAATCCATTTTGCATTATAATAGAGGCAAAACCAAACACCATCTTCTTTGTATAAGAGGCTGCAAAATTGAAGAGAATTTTATATGAAAGTACAGCCCAACCCACTACATTGTACTTACTAGTAGCTATATTTATAAGTTTACAGCGACGTAGCCCATTGGTTTTTTTGTTATACACCCAATATATAATATTATACATTTATAATAAGTTGTATACAAAAATAAGGTTTCATCTCCTATAGATTTAACTCTAGAAAAACATCATCAAATAGCTCGAATTGTAACGAAATAGTTTCAAATTTTAACCACAACTTCCAAATGACGCTGAACAATTCAATCATCAATTTGTCAATCACGGAACTCATTTATGGGTCATGAGTTTTCAAGCTTTTTAAAAACCCCACTAATGGAGTTTTTAGCTTTTCACTTTTATTCATCCAACAATGTTTAAATCTGTGATGATAAATATGAATATCACCTTCAAATTAGTTTCGAACAGAAATCTTCTTAATACACTATTAATAGGTGAAAAAAAATTAAATTATATATAAAATAAACTAAATTAGGTTTAAAAAAAGAATATAGGCTAAAATTAGTTGGGAAAGTATTTCACTGTAATTGTTTCAAAATTGAATAAGACAGAATAACAGAAAAAATCATTCTTTTTGTGCAACTTAGCGCCGGGACAGGGTTTGGTCTTTTGCAGGATGTTGCTGCATCTCATACCTTCTTTAATGAATTTGTTAATTTTTTTGGTTTTTCAACCCGGTATCGGTCAGGATCCGATTAAATTGAATTTGCACCGAAAAATCTCATATTGGAAAGTAAAGCGTTCTCTAATAAAGGTGTTTTCATATCCACAACTCAAAACTCGTACCTTTTATTAAGGAGGAAAAAATACTTACCACACAAACCACATTTATGGGTGAGTGGACAGAGTATATAATATCAGTATTGCACTAGGAAACATTCCAGGCTGTGGACAAACACCAAATGTCTGTCTTCAATTATTTTCACTTGTCAATTTTCTAATCCTCTAAATAGAGAGGTGCTATTATAGACTTTCTCTCGAGTTTTCTCCTCTCTTATGCTTTTTTCCCTTCTCATCTCACTTTCTTATTTACTTTGTCCTTTTCCTTTTCTTTGCTTCTTTCTTTAAACCTTTTTAGACCTCAAAAGAGAAGATAAAAGATGTGACTCAAGCACAATAACGTCTCATAAGTTTAGCAGATTACACAAGTATGCATTATGTGTCAGTTTTATACTTTTATCCAATAAAATTTGAAACTGTAAATTTGCAAGAATTGGTGACATCTGATTTACTAACTGCCAATAACCTCATAGTAAGAAACAACAACGTATTTCTATGCTTATATTTGACTCTACCTCATTCTTCTTTTAACCATGAATTTTGTAGTGGATCCACTTTTGCAGTTCCTTGCATCAGGTTAAAACTAATAAAGTCCAAAGTTAAAACCTATTATTGTGCCCCAAAAGTTGGCGAACCAAAGTGGCAATCATGCAACTTTCCTTCTAAATACTCCTATTTAATTCCTCAATCCCGATACTTAATCACTTTTCTGAATAAAATAACTAACCAGCACTTTTTCCTCAGTTAAAACAAGATTACCAGAAGACGTATCTGTCAAGGATTGCAATTCGCAAGGCAAAGTGTCATACCCCATAATCCCGCTTCAGATAGTCGTGATGACACTTCATCTCTAATATCAGGTAAACATACACATTGAGAATTTAGCAAATATAACGACTAAGATATTAAACTAAACTGATAACTGTCATAATAAACCAAAACGGAACATCAGTCATAAAATTTTCAAAACCGGTGGTACAGAGTCACAAGCTCTACAGAAACATACTAAGAATCTCTAAATACAATACTGTTTTAATATGAAGATACATAGTAGTAGAGACATGTCACGACCCCAATTTCCCTCCGTAGGTTGTCGTGACGACACTTAGTCTCTAAGACTAGGTAAGCCTAACAGTTACTAAGTAAACAGAAGAATTCGACCATCAAATGAAAAATACGAGATCAAATCTTATACAAGTTACAATTCCAAAAATCGGTAGTACAAGTCATAAACTCTACTGGGTTCGCTAAGAGAATCCTTAAGTATAACTGTTCGGAATGGAATTCAAATAGTACAAAAAAAAAAAAAGAA